CAAATTCCTCAGCCTCCTGAGTAGCTGGGACTACAAGTATGGACCACCAAGCCCAGTTGTATCCATGACCTCTTAAAATCTGTGAACAGAAAGATTAATGGGTACCCAGGACACTTTAGTGGCACCAGGCTTGTGGCTCTTGAGGCTGTCCTTGAACAAATATTACAAGGTCCTTGAACTTCAGTGCTTTTTTTTTAATTCCTTTTTTTATATGGTTGTAGATGGACAGCAGGCCTTTATTTTATTTATTTATTTTTATGTGGTGCTGAAGATCGAACCCAGGGCTTCACACATGCCAGGCAAGTGCTCTGCCACTGAGCTCCAGCCCCAGCCCCAGTGCTTGATTTTAAAAGGAGAGAGGGTGTTATACCCTCCCCATCCCAAGTACCTCCTAGAGACTACTTCAATTTAGCCACATTGTCTGGAAACTTCCACATCCCCTGCCTGGTCCTGTTACCCCCTCTTTCTTCTCAAATCCCCAGATTCTACTATATAGCTCCACATTTTCTCCCCTGTGTTCCCCCAGCCTTTCAGCCCTATTCCTTCCCATTCCAGTCCCAACAGGGAGCATCCTCTGTTCCTTGTCAAGTTCATTCTCCATCATCCCCTCACTCATGGCTTTCATTCCCTCAAGGCAAAAGCTACACGTCCCTTCCCCACCCCCATCTGCCCACTCAGCTCCCTTGGGCTATATATAGCACAGCTGTGCCTTAGATTGTGGCCAGAGCTTGGAGACTCAGCCCTACCTCCCCCATCCTTGCCCCTTCAACACAACAGAGAGAACATGTTTGAAGGTGCCGACAATGTTGGGTAGGGCAGGATGAAAAAGGATGTGCTGAATTTGAGATTTGGGAAAATTTGAGATTTTTCCCAATCTATTGTGTTCCAGCCTGCTACCCATTCCCTGTCACTTGTTCCTTCTGGAGGAAGAGGAACAGACAGTGAACAGAGGAGTTCTAACAACCATTCTATTTAACCCTTGAAGTAATCCTATGGCAGATGCTACCCGCATTTCTCAGGCGAGTGCATAGACTCAGAGGTCCAGTGGCATGATCAAATCATTACAGTTATGGGCTAATTGATTCCATATCTGACTTTGGACTATACACCATTTCTGTCTACATCGTTAATTTCAACCCCTCCACATCAAAATTTCTATTAACGTGCCCTGATTTGGAAGGGAAAGAGGTTTACTAAGCAAATTACTAATGTAGAAATGATGAAACGGAAACAATTATTAAAGACTTGGCATGTTAACAAGAATCATGCTATCATAATTTTATCTTATCTGTTTACTAAAGCAGGACTCTACAGAAATTTGTTCCTTGAAGTTTTAGTTACTGTATGTTCTCAGAAGTTTTTTTGAAATAAAAATACTTTGTATATTTGAAATTAAAAAAAAATTGCTGGGCGGAAGCTGGGCATGGTGGTGCATGCCTATAATCCCAGCAACTAGGGAGGCTGAGGCAGGAGGATCACAAATTAAAGGCCAGTATGGGGGCATGGGAATGGGTTCAATCTCCAGGACCTGTTGCAGGGAGTGGACGTGATGGGGGGTTATCTACATAAAGTAATTAGCACACCGCTTGGCCTATAGAAGATGTTCAGTAAATACAGTGAATACAGCAACTGTTACCATTTTCTCAGCTCTGGGCTGAAATTATGCTGTGGAAGCATCATTATAAAGTCAACAGGGAAAAGCAGAACTTGGCTTTCCATAGGTTGGCCCCTGTTTTTCAAAGAACTTGAAGTTACTCCCGATTCCTGTCATCTTATGCAGACATTTTTATCCCCCTCATCCTGCCTAGATGAGCAAGAATATGTACCATCCATATCTTGAAAGTTCAAGAGGCAGCGCTGGGTGTGTGTGTGTGAAAGACAGGGAAGAGAGTTCCCATGGACGCTCGGGGATATGTGAAGGCTCTGGGGAGTTGCTATAACCCTGAGTCTCTTCATAGAACAGTGAGTGTTAGAGAGAAGAGGAACATCAGCTGCTGGACAAATTTCCAGTGCTGAAAAGGCCCCTTTGGGACACACACAGGGCTAAAAGTAATCTAGAGAAAGAACAAAGGCCTGGGATGGAGTGAGACCCTCCAAGGTGTATCCTCATCTTTCCCAATTTGCATAGCAAGTGCTTTTCCCTCTCCAGTGAAGGGTATTGCAATTGATTTGCATGCCTAAACCTCAATATCAATCCAGAGGGTTTCAGTTTGGTCCTCTCTGGTTAGTATTGCAGTTAGGACAAGAAAATTTGAGGCAGCCAGACCTGGGTTCAGATTATAATACCAACATTAGGTGTGCACCTTGGATAAATCATTTGGTTTCTATGAAACTCAGTTCCTTCCTCTGTGAGAAGTCTGAAACATAAGTGTCTTAATACACAATAGCAATAATGCCCGTCACTGTCATCTCTGAACCTGAGAACTCTACAGGCAGCACAAAGGGCTTTAGAGACATGAAGTCCCAATTGTTTCAAACCCCCAGACAAATCTCCTTAGTCCACAAAACATTCCTGAGAGGACCAACACCAAGACCAGAGAGTCAGTTTCTCACAAATAGGTATTTTACTTATATTCCATATAGTCTATAAGCGTATTGAAAGCAGCTGAGCATGGTGGCATACACCTGTTATAATTCCAGTGATTTGGGAGGCTGAGACAGGAGAATCACAAGTTTGAGGCTAGCCTTGTCAATTTGGTGAGGCCCTATTCCCCAAAATAAAAAGGACAGGAGTATGACTCAGTTATAAAGCACTTGTGGATTCAAATCCCAGTACCTTAGTGGAAAACCTAGGATCTCTGGCCAACTTTGCTTCTTTATCTTCATTTCAGTTCTCCATATCACCACCACGTCTCATCCCACCATCTGAGAACCAGATCACATCAGTTAAAGGATCCTCTCCATTTGGTCCTATTGAAGGAACAGAGGAGGCAGGACACCCAAGACATCAGGAAACAGTTTTATTTGGCTGCAGCCAGGTTCAGAGGGCACAGCTTTTGCTGTAATCAATTAATCCCCTGAACCCCTGCAGGTAGTTTCAGAATTTTATACCCAGCAAATAAGGGGAGGGGCTCAGAAGTTCACAGTTTCTAGAAGTTCACATAAAAGCAGATTTTTCTTCTACTTGATTTGGGCAAGTTAACCCTTCAAGGACAACACCTGAGAAGGGGAGAGCTTCTTCTCCCCTTTCTTTCCTCCCCATGCCAGCCTGTTACCAGGGAGCCCAATTGGTAACTTATCTTAGAAATGTAGACATCTCTGTGAAGCCCCAGCTCAAGGCCAGAGGCCTTGTTTAAAGGTTTTGTCCTTTTTATTACATTTTACATTTGCAAACACACTTCTACAAACTACTATACTGGATACATGTTTGTGAAAAACAAGTAAAGGGGTGTTCAGCACCTGGAGTGCTGATTTCTTCCCAGCCAATGGCCGAGTAAAGTAGAGCAACAGGAAAATAGGAAGTTTAACTACATTGAACTTTTTTTTTTTTTTTGAGAGACTCTTTTGCTTATAGTCTTTTAAAAAAATATTTATTTTTTAAGTTATTGGTGGATACAATATCTTTATTTTTTATTTTTATGTGGTGCTGAGGATCAAATCCAGTGCCTCACGCATGCTGGGCAAGTGCTCTACCTCTGAGCCACAACCCAACCCCTTGCTTCAGTCTTTAAAAAATCATTTTTAGTTGTAGATGGACACAATACCTTTATTTATTTATTTATTTTTATGTGGTGCCAGGGATTGAACCCAGTGTCTCACACATGCTAGGCAAGCGCTCTATCATTGAGCCACAATCCTGGCCCTGCTTATAGTCTTAAAACCAATTATGGTGAAAATTTCTGGAGAAGCTTAGTTAAGATTTTTTTTTTTTTTTTTTTTTTTTTTGTGGAGGAGGGGGTGTCACTACAGTCCAACATGCTTTTCCAGTGTCTGCAGCTCAGCAGATGGGGGGTTAAGACCCATGCTCTGTCCTTTCTCCACCCATCTCTTCCCCGACTTCAAAGTCTGCATAAAGCTCAAGTCACTGCTTCCCTGACCCCAAAGTGATAGCTCCGACATCTGCTCTTGGATGGTTCAAAACAGCAGATGCTGAGCCCTGGCTCACGCTCCACTTTCTACCATCTCCTAGGGTAAGCACCAGCATGCTGAGATCTGTGGGGCCACTGGTCATTTCTTCTCCAGGAGAAGAGAAGGGGCAACTAGGAAGAGAAGTTGACTCAAGTAGGGAGAATTGGTCTTATGGTTGGACTTAAGAAGGCATCCCACTGGCAGAAATCCCGCTGTGAGGACCAGGACTACATCTAGTTTGTGAGCAGGGCAGATATTTACAGGGGTTGGCAAGTTAGAACAGTAGGAGTTTTCTCCCTAGAAATGGAGGTAGTGGTTTGAAGAGCAGCTCAGAGACCGGAATTTGTTTTAGTATTAATGTGCAAAATATATGCTAAATTATACATAAATCAATGTCCCATCGTTTGAACCTCTGCCTCTGGTGATTTAGTATTCAGTACTGTAACTGGGATGATTCTGGCTCCCTAGGGCCAGATCCTACTCTTTAGCTCCCTCAGGAGTAACTGTCACAAAACCAGGACCAGTGGAGGCCCCCAAGATTCAAGGACTGTTCCTCTCAGTCTCTCTGGATTTTTCCAGTTGTTTTTCTTGGCCCAAGGATCTTACCCAGTGATGCAAATGGAGGGAAGGGGGGTGGCAGAGAAAACAGTAAAGTCAGAATGAGTTGGGGAAGAAGCAGATGTTGGGAGGAAGAGGCAGACATTAGGAAGGACATGGAGGAAGTGGCTGCTAGTGGCCCAAACACCTGAGACAGGATACCCAGGAGGGACATCTTTTCAAGAGGAGACTGTGCTTAGCATGGTGAGAGGATGCTAGCGGGTAACCAACTCCTTTCCACTCCAGACTGAGAACCAGAATTCTTACTGTGGGGTACCTCCTAGGTCTGGGCTGAAGTCTAAGACCCCTGGCTGTTAACAACTGGGTCCAGGATCATGTCTGCTAACAAAGGCTGGTGGGTGCCACCTGAGGGCGAGGACAGCGTGTCTGAGAAGTTCCTAAGGAAGACCAGGGACTCTCCATTGGTACCCATAGGTGAGTAGGGAAAAGAATGGGGACATGAAGGGGGAACTTCTCTCAAAGAGATAGTGACTTCTGGTCTTTCCAAAGGAGAATGAGAGGTTGGGGATTTAGTTCAGTGGTACAGTGCTTGGTTAGCAAGAATGAGGCCCTGGGTTCAATCCCCAGGACCACCACCACCACCACCACCACACACACACACACACAAAAAAAGAATGAGGCAGAGGTTAGAGAAATTAAGTGGTCCTATGCACTGCACCAGGAACAAACCCTCACAATGAGACAAGGGAGTCTGGATGGGTGGAAGTGGACAGGAACTGAATGCATGGGACAAAGGGAAACTTGGGGCACCAACACCAGCCTCAGGATGGGGAGGGTCAGAATTATAATTTGGGATCCCTCAGGGATTCCTTTAAGTCCCTGGGAGAGCAGAAAAACAGCTGTACCAGGATGTGGGAGCCAGCTGTGGTTAGAGACGGGGCCCCAGCACCAAGGTAGCATGGTCATGGGGATGGGCTATTTGTATATGGGAAAGGGATACAGCCACTTTAAAAATGCCATCAAGGGGAATCAGCTCAACCTAATGCTACCCGCTCCCCTCTCAAACTGCACAAAAGCAGCCATTTATCTAGCCTCCCAGCCTGTCTAGAGGCTGTCTCATCAGAGGACAATTGAGCTTGAAGGCCAAGGCCAGGGGTTGGTCACATTCTCTGCCCACAGGCTTGGGAGGCTGCCTGCTGGTGGCAGCATACAGAATTTATCGGCTGAAAGCTCGTGGTTCCACCAAGATGTCCATACATCTGATTCACACCCGAGTGGCAGCACAGGCCTGTGCTGTGGGTGCAATCATGCTAGGTAAGCAGCTTGGGGTGGGGGGCAGGTCACAGGAGAAGTGCAAATTGGCTGAGGTAAAAGTCTGAGTTCTCACAATCAAAAGGCCCTTGACTTCCCATAGGACGCACATCAAACCCTTGAAGAGGCTTCTGAACTGAGACATTGTCAGGGTTCCCTGTTCAGTCTCCTGCCCTGGGCCTGTGGGATGGTGTGCAGCCTGCTTCATGAGGTTGCCCTAGAAATGAGAAATGTCATGCAGCAGAACATGTTGGATCTCTTCCTTTCTTGTTAAAAAAAGGCAGGAAGCTACTTGCTGCGACAGCAAGCCAATCCCCTCACTGAGCCTGTTTCTGATGTGTAACACAGCTAGTCACCCCAGCTTGCCCACTTCACAGATTGCTGAGGTATCTCAGACAGATACAGAATACACACTAAAGTGCTTTGTGAACTGCTGAACGGGCTGTTCCCACAGGCTGTGTGGTTAGATGCATGGAGCAGCTGTTGGGACTGATAAGCAAGGATGCCGAACTCTCAAAGGACCAGCTAGAATGGAAACTTTGGGACACCAGGGGGAGCCACAGAATGGGTACAGGATTCAGATGACAAGGGGCATTTCTTCTTCTTCCTCACACAGGCGCTGTGTACACGATGTACAGAGATTACAGCAAGAGGACGGCACAGGACACTGGGGAGAAGTAGTGCTCCTGAGGGGGCTGGGTGGCCTGACCCTCTCCTCAGCCTCTGTATGTGCCTAATAAACCAGTGCTGAGGAAAGTCAAGTGTCTTCTTCACTAGCAGAGAGCAGAGGAAGGGACCTAGAAGAAAGGCTGGATATCATGGAGCTTTGGTCCCCAACTCCAGGGACAGGGAGACATATAAGGGGCAGTGGTCTCCTAAGGTCAAGGTAGGCAGACCTTAAATCCCAGAATCCCATCAACTCCCATACCACCTCAGGTCTGCCCAGAAGCAGTATGGAGTGGGCACGGGATGGAGGGGCAACGAAGGGGCCTTGAGGCTCATGGGAACACTGAAGTAAGAGAAAGGCGTTCCTCCACAGACTGCTTTCCCTGGGGACCCAGGCAGGAAGGAGGCAGCAGCTGGAGCAGAGGCAATGATGCCTCATGGGAGATGACATATATCCAGAATGTAAGCATGAGGACTAGACGGGATGGGGGTGCGGAGGATGAAAGAAGCAGGCCAAGGCAGAGGTCAGAATTTTCTGTTCATTTACAAAACACAACTAAGGTTGAACTTGTAAAAAATAAAATTCCATGTAAATCCTGAAGACAGTGGCTCTTGGGGTTAAAAACTTTCATCCTCCAGGCCGGGCATGGTGGCGCATGCCTGTTATCCCAGCTGGAGGATTGCGAGTTCAATTTAGCGAGGTGGTAAACAACTCAGTGAGACCCTGTCTCAAATAAAATACAGAATTGGACCGGGGATATGGCTCAGTGGTCGAGTGCCCCCGAGTTTAATTCCCAGTACCACAAAAAATTTCCAAATAAACAAACTAACAAACAAAATAACACTCATCCTCTTCTCTTTCCCTGGGCCCAAGCTCCTCCTTGGGAATGGAGCCAGGCAGAGGCCACAGAAAGAATCAGGAGGCCAAATGGCCCTTCTTCACTGGGACTCTGGACTGGAGGTTTGAGAGTTGTTCATCATGGCCACAGCAATTCTCAGACACTCTTTGACAACACGAAGACCAAGTCACACAGGTCTCAGCTTCAAGTCCAGGAACTGCCAGGAACACCTGCACTCACATGGGGTAATTGAGCACAACATCTTGTTTGGCGAGCTCCAGCAACATAGGATCGTCGAAGAACTTGCTGATGCTCACATCTTCACTCAGGCCCTGTGGAGAATGGGGGCAAGTGCAAGAGTGAGCTCCATATGGGGACTGGCTGAGCTAGGGGCTGTCCAAGACCTGGGCTGGAGGTGGAGGCTGGCAGGAGCTGGAATGTAGATAACTATTCAGAAGCTGTGCCTTTAGGGTACTGTCACAGCCCAGAAGACACTCCTCTCCCAGCTCCCTTTTCCCTAAAGGCCCCAGTTCTGGTTGTCTAAGGAATGTACAAATCACTTCCTTCCACACTGTGCGGCAAACTATTCTCAGTCTATAGGCCCTCAGGAAAAGGGTCCATGAAGAAGAAAGGAACCAAACTTCTGCTGAGGCTCCTGGGGGTTGAGGGACTACAACGGGCCTGAGGAACACGTACCTTCCTACGACGGGTTTTAATCATGAATTCCCGGGCCAGGTGAGGAGCTGGCTGTGGCTCCAAGGGGCGGATGACAATGCTCTTGTCCAGAGGATCACCAGGTACAATCTGAAAGGCAAAGGGTTTCTAATGTTCTAGGCAGACTTGGATTCCAGAGGCTTCAAGCCCAAAGCAGGACTCTTCTCTAGGATACTAAACACCTCACTTGGGGGGTTGGAGAAATAGGTTAGATAGGGATCAGCTTGTATAGGTGGAAAGCCAGGCTGGCTGGTTTGCCCCATTTTCTTACCTGCCAATGGTGGAAGACAGACAGGGAAAAGGCCTGTCCCTGGGTATGAGTCCGGAGATCAGTCTCAAAGCCAAAAGAGTCGATGGCTGGAATGAAAGCTTTGATGGTGTAGAGAGGGGAGCCTGGGATGGGTGCATCCTGAGTCACATGCCCCCTGGGACAGAAAGGCAAAGGTTAAATCCTTACGTATACAGAGGCCAAAAGCCAAGGAGCAATCTGGCTTTTGCTGCTCCCAGATTCAACCTAGCCCAAAGTTCCCAGCAAAGAAAAAATAACCAAGAATGCTCTACAGAGAGCAGAAAAAGCAGACAGGATAGGGTCCTAGAGATATTCACATGGTTGACTTGCTTCAGTACTTCCCCCAGGAGCTCTCTGAGTAGGGATCCAAGAAATTTCAGTTGTAATTTGTGATAAAGCCAGAGATTGCCTCATTCCTCTCTACTTCCTTCTGGAAAGTGAGCTGACTGGGTCTGGAGTGGACAGATTTGAGGCTAAGCTCTACTCTGCCCCCTCAGCAGCTGAGGCATTTCCTGTTCTGCTCTTGATCTTAGCACTCTCCCTGACACACTGCGGTTGCTCACCTGCGCCTGGCCAGGACAGTATAAACGGCAGATACACAGTCTGCAGGGGCCTGGACCTCTACAAAGTAGTAAGGCTCCATCAAACGAGGAGTGGCCTGCAACAGAGCAGGGAGAAAGGGCTCAGCTTGGGGAGGGCTGAGAAGGGAGACCCTGGATAAAATGTCTCCAGGCGCCCAAAGCCTGGTCCTCTACTTATCGCCCTGTCCAGGGAAACAGGATGGTTCCCTACAGCCCTGCTCTTACCATGAGGAAGGCAGAATAGACAACTCTCCTGGCTGTGGGGATAATCTGGCCTCCACCCCGGTGCAGAGGCTCCTGGGCAACCACCGCATCCAGGATCTTAAACTTGACATTCCGAATCACTAAAAAGGAGATGAGGACAACTCTGTGAGGTTTGGTTCTGGGGCTAGTCACAGGGCTATAGCAGAGCAGTACAGAATCTTGCATTACATACATCACAGCCACAGAAAATGTGGTACAAAAATCACACTGGAGCTGGGCACAGTGACACCCAGCAACTCAGGAGTACAAGGCAGGAGTACCAAGTTTGAGACCAACCTGAGCAACTTAGAGAGATCCTGTCTCAAAATAAAAATTAAAAAAGGGCTGAGGATGTAGCCAGTGCTACAGCACCCCTGGATTCAGTTCCTTATATACACACTATCTGAGAATGGGTGTTCTAATCAGATCAAGAAGGTGTGTGGTAAAAGAGGTCAGCAGTTAAGTATACATTTGATTCAGGCCATAAGAGCTTTTCTACAAATTTGTGGGTCCCCCCCCCCCCCCCCTGCAGATATTAAACCTTTCTGTTTGGAAGCAGAATCAAGTTCTAGGAATTTCATATTTAGTCCCATGAAGTCCAATCTGGGTCAATAAACCACTCCAATCTCAGTCTTCACTATATCTCTTGTCACATACACCCAAAGACAGCTCCTATTCAGGAGTGAGAAGCAATGTTGGTCTAGAAGTGACTTCATTTCTAGGAAGTGCCAAGTGGTGGCAATGGGATAAGGAAAGGGGAGGAAGTTGGCCCAGGACATGGGACAGACCCTATGGACTTACATTCATCACACAGGGGCCCCTCCCTGGTTCCCCACTGGAAACCTTGAACGATGCTATCCTTCACTGAGCCAAGAAGAGCCTTGTCCACCTGTAGAGAAACATGAAGGCTCCTCAGCAGTCCTCCTACCAACCGAAAAGTTGAGAGGGGGAGAAGAGAGGTACAGCTAGGAGAAGACCCTCTCCTTCACCAGAGAACTCAAAATATTTTTGGAGAAAAGGAGGACACACTGCAGTTTCCTCTACTCAGGAGCTATAAAGAGTGCCACGTGGTTCCCATCAGTTCTGCAGTACCTCAGAGGGCAAGGTATCATCCACCAGGATGTTGGGGCCTGTGGCATCAGGGCCAAAAGCCCAGATAGACCGGGCAGCCAGCAGATCCCAATCATACTTGGTCTGGAAGAACTCTCCCAGCTTCTTTCTGGGGAAAGGAGAAAATGGAGGTATCAGACGGCTCTGTTGAAGGCTTCAGGTCCATGGACCCTCCCTTTCTGGAGAAGAGTCACCCCATTCAGCCCATGCTGTGCTCGGAACATTAGCAAAGGCGGGACACATAACTCCTTCCCAGAATGATGTGTGGCAGGTAAACTGTGGCATCGGCCCTAGAGGCAGAGCCATGCACCCACCTGTTCCATGTTATCTGAACCACCTCATTCTCTATGTCTTCGGCGAGGCCCTTCTCAAGAGGCTCAGCAATCATGGTGATCTTGTTCCTGGTGAGAAAGACAAAGGCAATGAGGAGGGCTCACAGGACTAGTGGGGCTTTCCTAAGGAAAGGGCAACAAAGCGGACAGCTGAGGCAGTGACATCAGAGGATGCCTCAGGGGCAGGGTGGAACAAAGGACTTGTCTTCTTTCATTTCAGTCTATTAGCTTGTTAAACAAGTGGAGCTACGGCTGGGAACGTAGTTTAGTGGTAGAGCACATGCTCAGCACATGCAAGGCCCTGGGTTCCATCCTCAGTAGCAAAAAAATAAATAACAATAATTTATTTTTGGGATACCAGGGAATAATAATAATAATTTAAAACAACCAACAATTAGATTTTGGGGCAAATTTTTATTTTGTCACATGACAGAGGAGAAGTGGCAACTATGGAATTCCTCTTGGTAATATCTAAGACAAAGGATTCATACAGCATCTTGTCCAAAAGCATAAGGGACAAGGGGCTGGGGTAAACACAGGTATCTTAAGCACAAGCACCTTCTCTCCCTGTCTTGGGTGTCTCTACTTCCACAGTGCTAGGCTGGGGGTGGAACTGGGGTGAGTGTAGGGGGACAGTGTCCTTCAGGCTGCCAGTCCAGGGACACTATGCTCCCAGCTTACTTTTTATTGGGTGTTTCAGCAAAGCATTTGAGGGAGGATGTTTCCACCACCGTCTCACAAAATGTGACCACTGGGTCAGCCACCTGGGAACAAAATAAATTGCTGAGGCAAAGTCTACTTTTGTTGGAAGGACAAAGTTCTACCTAAGGGAACTCTGAAGTGCCCTTGGCTCTCCCTCTTTGAGAACCCCCTGTTCCTTCACCAGCACAGGTAACAGGCACAATGCAGGCTGAAGCACTGTCCATGCCATCACTAAAACGCCTGAGAAGACAGTAAAGGTATTTTATTCCTGAGCCAAGAGTAAGTAGGAGATCAAAACAAGGGCC